GGGGGAGGTGTGCGTGTGGGTGTGGGTGTGTGAGTGGGCGGGCGTCCTTGTGGGTGCCTTCTCTTTCTTCACCTTCTCTTTCGTGCACGGTGTGATGAACATTGCATTTTGTTATGCTCATGTGGAACTGTGGGGAACAGAAGCCGTGAGATCAGATGGGTGATCGAGGAAAATTGGAATTGGAACTGGCATTGCACCTGTGGATGAGGGAACGGCAAGGCTTTCAGGAGGATTCACATAGTCAGGATATGCGAGGTTGCGAACGGGCAGGAGGGCTTGTGGTATCTCTGTGGAGCTGAGGCTTGGCGATACACTCAGAAAGTTTGATGATCTTAGAGCTGCAATGTTTTGGTATGTGTATATGCAGGGTGTGTGTTTGTTTTTGTGTGTCTGTGTGCGATGGTCTGTGTGTGTGTGTGTGCACGTGTGAATGTCGTTTCACTGGAAGTGTGTGTGCGCCTGTGTGCAGCTTTGCTGTTGGTGTGCACGCCTGCATGTAGTTTTCCTGTTGGTGTGTGCATGCGTGTAGGTGCACTGTTGGTGTGCGTGCACGTGTAGTTTCGTTGTTGGTGTGCGGGCATGTGTGCGTGGAGTTTCACTGTTGGTCAGTCAAGTGCACGAAGCGGCTACTGGCATACCATGTGTCTCAGAGCTCAAAAAGAGGAGGATGGAGTTGTAAGAGTGACAAACAAACAGCAAACAGATCTGCTACATAGACAGAGGGAGTGCTAGCAGTCTTATTGAACATGGGCTGCTATATTTACATGGCATGGCGCTCAGGACACAGAGAGGAGGATTGGCCAAGATCAGGAACTGCAAAGGGAAGTGTGAGGAGGAAGACAACAAATTTGGAGAGAGATTGGGGAAGGAGGGGAAGCTCAGTAATGTGACCAAACCGTTTGTTTGGCATGGTGGCAGGAAAGAAAGGGGTAATGGAGGTGTTGGAAATGAACTGCGGCGTTGTGTGTGGCCCCCATGGGGCAAGAAAGGAGGGAGGAGGATGGAAACTGTGGTTTTCATTGTGCCCCAATGCCTGTCCATGGGTTGAGCAGAGCAATGCAGAAGTCATTTCATCATGTAATTTCCAAAATAATCTCCACAGATTTTCTCCACTGCTCTTGAGGTGAGCCAGAGCAATTCTGAAGTGATTTCATCATCGTATAGTTTCCCAAAGAATCTCCACAGATTTTCTCCACCGCTCTTGAGGTGTTTCCGTTTGTCTGTCCTTGTCGAAGAGCTGCTGTTGAGCAGAAGACATTCTGGTGTATTGCTGGCCAGCATTCTCTTTTGGCATGGTGGCAGGAAAGAAATGGGTAATGCAGGTGTCGGAAATGAGTTGTTGTCTTTGTATGTGGCGCTTGTAGGGCACGGAAGGAAGGCGGAGGAAGAAAACAAGTTGTTTTCACTCTGCCCCATTAGGTGGTGTAATACTGGCCCACATTTATGATTCACCGCCTTCAAGAAAAGAAGAGGAAAAGAAATGGAAAAACAGGAGGTTGATGACTTGTTCTGAACCTCCTTCACTGAGCAGTTTTTTGTCATGCTGAGTATTATGCAAGGAACTGTGAAACTGCAGTCTCCCAGACTCTCTACATCTCGGCGCTGCTAGTCCCGTCAGTCCCAGGTCTCGGAGGGATGGGTAACGGAGGCCTGAATTTTCAGACAATTTGTCACACCATTTATAGCAAAATCCAAGTGCCATTTTAGCCGAACTTGCCGCCAATTCATAGAGTGGACACCATATCAAGTATTATCAACTAACTGCAAAAAAAAAAAAAAGGCGCCAAACAAAAAAACACTATAAAACTGCAAGGCAAAAGTACACTTTCATGCAAATTCTGCCAACATTCTAATTTCAGAGATTTTTAGAAATTCCAGAAATGTCAGCGGAGGAATTTCCAATGCTCCAAAAGACACCAAATTTGGCACACAGCAACCTTGAACCAAAATAAAAACAGGCAACAAAAAAATTAAAAAAAAATGAAAAACACGAAAATTGACCTCCAAACCCTAATTTCAGTTCTGGACACGTTAACCGAAGAGCTGAAAAGTGGGGGTCTCTGCTAACCACTGGTGGAGAGATGGTCATACATGCGGCGCATCGACGTGCGCTGCACCGCGCGCAGCTCACAACGCACGCGCACTGGGTGCGGCGCACCCCAAAAATAAGGGGTTGAGAAAAAGAAAAAAAAAAAGTTGGGGAGGGGTGCTTTAGGCCCGAGTGGGATGTCGTGTCATAAACCACAAAAAAATAAAAACAAAAAATTGAGGCCGTGCGGGACCTCCGAAAAGAAAAGGGGGGAAGTTGGTTTTTTGTTTTTGTGTGTGTGTGTGTGTGCGTGTGTGTGTGTGTGTGTGTGTGTGTGAGAGAGAGAGAGAGAGAGAGAGAGAGATGGCAGGAAGAGGGAGAGAGAAGTAGCGATGGTGGATGGCGGAAGGTGGGAGAAAGGCCGAAGGTGGGATGGTGGGAAGCGGCGGAAGAAGTCGGGAGAGGAGGGGTAGATACATTGCGCACACGCGTGCAGCACACCAGACGTGCGCAGTGCACTGTGTACCCAGATGCGCGGCGTGCGCCGGTGCGCGCGCACCTCGGGTTCGCGCACAGCGCGCTGCGCAGTGCACCATGCCGGTGCGCCGCGAGTATGTCGTTAACCCAAGAGCTGAAAAGCAGGGGTCCCCGTTAACCACTGGCGAAGTCCGGTGCAGGAGTACCATAGGGAGTCTAGCATAGGGTCCTGCAGTCCAGTCAATCCAGTCCCAGGTAAAGTCAGGCCAGCGTAGGGGCCAGTAGTCGGTGGTTAGTACTGTTGTCAGGGGTTAGTAATGTGGTTCAGTCCAGTCGAGTCCAATGGAAGCCCAGGAAAAGTCAGCAACGCAGGGTCCCAGGGAGGCCAGAGAATATTGCAGGGACGCCAACTGGAAGACCTGATCTCAAGGCAGTCGGTCAACCAGGTCTGCAAGTCCAAGCGCGGGAAGTGAAATTGGCACGTACAAAAGGACGGCAACGGTGGCTTCTCACAACAGTTCCGTGCTTGCTGTGGAAGTGCTTCTGCACCAAGAGCAACCAAGTGGCAAGTGAAGCAGCAGGCAGAGGGAGACAGTTAAGCTAGAGTGAACAGGCGCTGAGCGTCATAGCTGTCGATGCACTGTTGCTAGGAGAGAGAAGGCATTCAGAGAGTCGGAGGGAGAGGTGTGAGGGTAAGTTGTACACAAAACTTGCTTGACCCGGGGCTCGTGGGTTATAACCTTACACAGGGTATGGTTAACTCCTTCCAGAGATGTAGACCATAGAGAAGGAGCCATGGACCATGGTTGACTACCGTTAGTCTAAGTTGTTCCAGTGTCCTATAGGCTATTGAATAGGGAGTTGACACGACTAATGAAATAGATAATCGAGTCGATAAAAGTCTAGGCGGTAGGAGGTAGGGGGGGATACTCCCTGCGAGCATGTCCCTCTTTCCATCCTTGAACACTCCTACCGTTTTTCATCTCCCTTCAGGGAGGTGAAAACAGTCAAGGGCATGAGACCCTGGAGGGAAACCCGCTGAAGAGGGGGAAGCCATGGCGAATGGTGTTTAATGATGGATCGTAGGAGTTCAAAACGGTCAAGGGCATGAGACCCTGGAGGGTAACCCACTGAAGAGGGGGCAGTCATAGGGAAGACTGTTCCAGCCAGCACAAGAAGAAGAGAAGAAGAAGAGCGAAATTAAGCGGGAGAGGGAGAAAAAGAAAAGCAGGAAGCAGAAGTTACGGGGCCTCAAGAAGAAGAGCAGGCGCCCAACAACCAAAGGCTCGGGGAAATTTTTCCGCTTTGACCAATTGTTTTATTTTACCTCACATTGCACCCCATCGGACTCAAACCAATAGTCCCTCTGCTGCGTGGAATTTCTTTTTAACATGGTCTGATGAACCACGGATCAGATATTAAACTATCAGCACAGGAACTGCACTCAATCTTAGCCAAAAGGCCGAGAAAGGTATTGCTGCTTGGAAATTTGGCTGACTGGTGGTGCCGTTTTGTGAAAAACATTTTGGCCTACATATAGCAGCAGGAAGCAAAAGATGGAAAAAACATTGGGAAGCAATGCACCAGTTTGCAGCCAGAATTTTTCTGTTCTAGAAAAATTTCTGGATTTTTTACTAATTTTCCTGAAAAGATCAGCACCATACCTACATGTCTGATTTTTTCGGGTTTTTCTACTTTTTTTTGCATTTCGTCCTAAGCTTTGTAAAATCACCAAGTTTGAACTTTTTTTTTCCGAACTGGTGACGACCCCCATTATTCCATGGGCCTATCGGTCCAGAGCCGCTCACTGAAATGTGAATTCCGGAGCATTAGGGAGACTTGTAGTCTAAGAAGTCCGTGGAAGAGAAGTGGAGCATCATGTGGGCCGAGTCCAAGTCACATCTACACCAAACCGACTGCTGTAGGGAAGGAACGGGAGACAGCAAAGTGCTATAGGCAGCTGTTGTGGAATCGCCCAGCTGAGACAGAGCAGAAGCAGAAGGTATTGTGAAGTCGGAAGGAGGAACTTACCACCACGAAGACATTGGGAGCTGCCCTTAGAATGATGGTGAAGTGCAGGTACTATTGAAAGCAATTGAGGGGCAGGAGTGGCACAACACGATGGTGGAGGTGGTTAACGACTTCGTTGCGATGTTGTAAGGCATAAAGAAGAGAGAAGAGAGTTCAAACCACTGCTACCTTCCCCCAGATAACGTCGAGAACGAAAAATGTAACATTACCTGAGTGAGGACGCTGCCCGGCCGGGCCTGCCCTGCCGGGCTGGGCCCAGCCGGTTGGGCCCGGGGGGGCCGCCCAGGTAAACCGGGCAGGACAAAAAACTGCCCAGAATTTTTTTATTTTTTTTTGAAACCAGGGTCGTTCTGCGCTCGGCAAGAGGACCCTGAATCTGCAATAAAATTTTGGTTTTGGTGGGGGGATGGGGGGGTT